CAGCTGGGAGATTTACCTTCCTGTGTCAGGATTTTCAACCTTTCCATGATGACCGGTTTAAACTCTATCTTTTGAAATTTGATTTAACTTATTAAATCATGTTCAGCAGCAGTAAGACTCTCAGTATCACAATTAAGAAAAATTTTTAAAATATTATGTAAGATCTAGTATATGTGTGTGGGGTCCTGTTTCCCCCACTTTTTTAAAATTTAATAAAATTGAGCAAAGGCCTGGCATAAGTCATTAAAGTTATAGATAATAGTACAATATTTGCATAATAAGAAAAGATTTACCATACTTAATTTGTTCTGAATTTTGACAAAAGTCATCTACTAGCAATGTTAAGTCCAACATCAGTAAGTTGGAGAGGGACTATGGTGACTAGAAACCTAAGTTTTATTAATGTATGATTTAATTTTTTTATATTTATTTTTTTTGTTTTAGGTGGACACAATATCTTTATTTATTTTTATGTGGTGCTAAGGATCAAACCCAGTGCCTTGTGCATGCCAGGCCAATGCGCTACCACTTGAGCCACATCCCCAGCCCCTGATTTAATTTTTGACTTTAATAAAATTATTAAAAATGAAGAATATAATAAAAATTTATATTTTGAAATTAGCTTCAGATGAACTCCAATTAGCTATTTTAATTTGGAATGAAGTGAGACAGTTTAAACTTAGGAGTGGTGGGCATGAGAAAAATATAGACATCTATCTAAAATAGGAAGTACATATGTTAAATAAGCCTAGAGAAGATTTTTTAACCATTAATAAAGAATTAAATAGAGAAATGAATGTTTTTTTAATCTATGGATCCATGAAAAAGTGTAATTATTGTTATCAAACTTAGTGTTGACCTAAGTATGGGGAGTTAGTATCCCAAATATTAATGGGTAAAAACAAGTCAACAGTTTTGTTTAAAACAGTGATCTAATTTACAATTTTATATAACACTGAGCTAGTAATAACATTTTTAGGGATCTCATGTCAAAATAATCTTTGTGTATAAAGAAACAGTTTTATGAGCATCCTAATAACTTTATTTAATGTAGTAAAATTAGCTCTAATAATCATGTATAATTTATGGTTTTACCAATTTCAAAAATATCAATGTATATAGGACATCATCTGATATTATTAAAGTTGAGAAAAGCTCTATCATGTTAAATTTATTATTAAAATAAGCTACTGGCTGTTGAGCTGATTTATTTATGGCTGTCTGTCTAATATTTTAGGGGTAACTATTTTTAGGGTTATTTTCCTCAGTGACAAACTGTTGATAGGGGCTCAAAGTTAAGACCCTGTTTCCATGTTTAGAGCCTTCCAAAAATCTGTTTATAACTTAGAAAAAAAGTAAAATTTTTAACCAGAAGGTTTATTTGTCTTGGGGTAAGATTAGCATTTTAATTTTTTTTTTCTGTCTGTATGTTTACCTTTCCTTTCCTTCGTTGGTCTCCATTCAACTATGGTGTAACATCCAAACTTGACTATGTTAACTAACCTCTGTAGATCCCTTGGAATGATGAGGGCTAACTGGATGATAAACTCATCTTTTAAAAATGGGTGGCTCTCTATAAGTTTAAGGTGCTGAATTGTCTCTTTAAATCTCTCTATGAAAATAGCAGGATTTTTATAAAGGCTTTCTAAAATTATATTTTAGGTATTCTGTTTACCTGTTGGATATTAATAAATTTTGGGGAGTTGTCTGTGCTTCAGATAGACTGTTAGTTTTGTTTCTATTCTGTGTTATTGGAACATGGTTAAGATAAATCTCCTTTAAAACCATTTTTAAGATGGTCCTCTATTTTAAAGTTTACATAAATAATAGCATAATATCTCTGTAGATAGGGTTAGGTATCTGGCATAAATTTTGAAATATTTCAATACATGAACTTGGCTCTCTCGAAAATCTCCCTGAATTTATTCTGGTCTATGTTAAGTTTTAGAGGTCCCCTTTGATCTTTTCTCCTAGTAGGTAATTTTTTAAGGCCTTCTCTGTTAGTAGTAATTGAGACTAGATATGAAAATGAGATATCTTTTATTAACATTGTAATTTTTTAGTATATAGACTAGTTAATTCATTTTGATATTACATGTAAATGGACAACTTAAAAGGAACCCTCATTTCTTCCTGAGAGAAGGTCTCAAAATATCTCTATATTTCAGAATATTATCCTTTAAATAGGTGTCTCTTAACTGTCTTCTAGAAAATATGATTAAGGTTACTTCCCAGTGTAGGGACAATATACAAGTCTTACAATGTTTCATGGATTATAGGTCCAGTTAGAGAATTTATATACTACAAATGAATTTCCAACAAAGCTTACACTTTTATTGTTCAAAACTAATGTATGACTTTAATTTGGAGAACACCAATCCTAATAAAATGTTCTCCTAAATCCCATAAACATCCAATGATGTCTTTGAATCAGTCAATTTTAGCCTCCAAGGGGAAGTGTCAAAATTGGAATTTAAGTCAGCATTTTTAAATATTTTTTGTTTATAATCAAGGATGTGAATTTATTCACTAAAATTAATCCTTGTCTTAATAAGAATCACTAAGCAAATAAAGGCCTTACTTAATGGAAATAAACAACATTTTTTTTTTAGAGAGAGAGAGGAGGGAGAGAGAGAATGAGAGAGAATTTTTTAATATTTATTTTTTAGTTTTCGGCGGACACAACATCCTTCTTTGTATGTGGTGCTGAGGATGGAACCCAGGCCGCACGCATGCCAGGCGAGCATGCCACCGCTTGAGCCACATCCCCAGCCCCAATAAACAACATTTTAATAGGTCTTTAACATGTCAAATTGTGGAAAAAATCTTGGTTCATATTAGTATAATAAAATCTGGGGAAAAAGTCTGAAATATCCTAGAATTAATCAGTTCAAATTATTATAGTCAGTCCAGTTATACATAAATCTGTTTTTTAAATTGTTTTAACTTTCTATATCATCTGTCGAGATAATGATATGAGGATTTCCTTATTTAGAAATTCTTTTTATCATTAAAATCTAGAACATAAAGAACTTGTTTTACCCAAAGATGATTTCTTTCTTCTTCTTAGGACCTCCAAGGTGTGCTTCCTCTCTGTGGAAGTATATTCTTGTCCTTTTAGAATTTTTTCTTGGTTATACTTTGGAGCCATTTGTGTAAATCTTAGAATCTAAACAAATTATTGTACCTTGATAAGAAGAAATATCTCAGTGAAAATATAAGTAAAGCCCTTACACATTTTTGTTGACAGAATCATTTCTGTTTACCATCTTATAAAAGTTTGTACAGTAATTTCAGAATTAGAGATTACTTGATGGTTGTATTATATCTTGAAATAGGTATTTTACAGTAAAATACATTTATCTCAAATATCTGTAACTCTAAAAGGCAGAACATCAGATAAATGTATGTATAAGAAATATAAATTATGTGTTTTCTGCTGAAGGAAAATGATTAGAAGCAAATAGATATATATTAATTAAACAAATAGACATATGTTAACTATTCTATGAATTAAGGACTATAGATTATCCAAATAACTGGAAATATATGTATTGTGAATAAAGCTATAAGTTACTATTATTTAACCATGGAATTTAAAAATAAGCCCCATCAAACCATGTGGCTCTTAAAAGTATTTGGATCCATTTATTTTACCTTGGACTAGTAGTGCACTTTTCATATTAGTGACATCACATGATGTGGTTAAAATAAAATCCTTGTGTATACATTTACTCTTTTTTTGTAATTATATAGTCAGGAATGAGAAGAATGAGGATTTCTTGATTATTATAGGAATATTGTGAGAAAAGGTCTCATAATGCCGGCTTTTGTACCTGTGGCAAGCAAAATGCATCCTCATAATCTCCAAAATTAAAAGCAAAATACAAGAAGCATATGAATGATCTCTCATCAATGTAACATTATTTAGTAACAACCGTAGAGAGGAAAAGGAAGGATTTTATTTATTTATTTTTCTTTTTTTAACTGATTTTATTTTTTTAAAATACATGACAGCAGAATATATTACAATTCTTATTACACATATAGAGCACAATTTTTCATATCTTTGTATAAAGTATGTTCATGCCAATTCRTGTCTTTATACATGTACTTTGTTTTGCATTTCAATTCTTATTACTCATATATACCACAATTTTTCATATCTCAGTTTGTATATAAAGTAGGTTGACACCCAATTTGTGTCTTCAAAAAGGAAGGATTTCAAAGGAAGCTGTTAAGGGATAAAAAAAAATCAAGTTATTTAGCTTTGAGGGCAAGTCAGGCTTAGGGCAACATAGAAGCCTGTGGAATCAGATTTTGCCTGAAAAAAGATCTCTTTCCTTAGTATTTACAGGTGAGCATTCTTAAGTAAAATGTAGGCTCTGTGTAGCTCCAGTACCAGGTCTGTGTGAAGCAGGAAGTACAGGTTAGTGGCTGGGAGGCGGGATCAAAAGCTCTGTTTGAGTGACAATGAAAGGACCAATGGGAAGCCTGCAAAAAATGTGGGAAGTGGAACTCATCCGCCATTTTGTCCTGGCCATGTGGCCAGGGTTCTCCACAGTCCAAAGTTTTGCCTGAGGTCCTGTGTGTTTCGCCTGTCCAGTTACCAGCAGTTTTGGCTGAACCTTTGCCACGCCCAGTGACATATGTCCATGTTTTGGTACTGTCTAGGCTGTGCTCCAGGGAGCCGTTACCATGGCTATTGGAATTAGTTGTCACTGTGTGTGGCCTGGGCTGGCTTAGGTTGGTCGCTGTTTGCACCCTGAGCAACAAAGAACCCTTTGGTTGGCTTTGTCCTGCCTGTCCCCAGAACGTGGTTCCATGTCATGTCCATGACCCTGGGGAGATATCTATTCGTACCTCCACTCCAAGTCTCCTTGTGACGCCATCTTGTGGGCATTTTGCCAGTGGGAAGATTTGAGAATTGTGGTATGAGATAATAGGGCTACATATGAGCTTGCAGCTAACTGGGAGTGACCTTGTTTTTGTCTGCTCAGGCCACAGGATCTCTCCTTGAGGAGACAACTCGGAAATGGGCTCAGTACAAAGAGAAGTGTCTGAAAGATTTACTTAAGAAACCTTCTGGTAAGCACATGTATTAGTTATCTGTGGCTGTGTAACAAGTTGCCCCAAAGCTTAGTGGCTTAAAATAGTAATAATCATGTGTCTCTCAATGTTCCTGTGGATCAGGAATCAGACTGGACACAGTGGGCCTGACAGGTTTCTGCTCAGCCATGTCTGGGGTTCAGCTGAGAGACTCAAAACTCAGGAGCTGGAATCACTCAAAGCCTCCTCCCATGTCCACTGGCTGATGCTGGTTCTCAGCTGAAAGTCAAGTGGCAACTGGTAGCCCATCTGCATGGCCTGGGATTCCTTACAGCAGATGGCTGGGTTCCTAAGGGCTAGCCTGATGACAGCCCATATCACTTTGTATGACCTGGCTTCAGAAGTCACACAACATCACTTCTGCCAAGCTCAGTTGGATGAGACAGTTACAAAGTTCGCCCCAGGAGAGTGACCATAAACCCACTTCTCACTATAAAGTAACATGACATGGGATGTGTATGGATGCAGCCCTCTTTGATGAAAGCTGTCTGCCACACTTACTCCCTCGTCTTCAATCATGAGTAATTTGTCGACTGAATTGTTGTAGATTGAATTTGTGTCATTTTTATGAATATGTGACCAGGAACCTAGATCCCACAGATGTCCTTAAATCAGCTTGTTATTTTGCATATTTCATCGTAGGTGTGTTCTGGGATCTAATCAGGGAAGGTTTGACAATTATTTAGTCAAATTAATTATGGAACCTAAGGCTTTTTTGGCTGGACCTCCAAGTGTCCTTCTGACCCAGAGTTTCTGCGAGAGTTTGGTTCACATAAAGCAAAATTAGCATGACATGGACATTACATTAACTGACTAGGGGTTAAACTGAGTAGATAAAGGCACCATGTTTGGGGCTGCATTCCTTTGCTGCCCAAATCATTCTTCATCTCTTACATATCTAGAGAGGGAGGCCCACATAGCTTCCTTCAGTAGCAAGGTGGGCTTTAGGATCCAGGCCCCTTCTGCTTCTATAAGAGGCCCTGTGTTCAAATATTGATGTTCGTTCTTCTCTCCCTAGGCATATTTTGTAATGGAACCTTTGATCAGTATGTGTGCTGGCCTCATTCTTCTCCTGGAAATGTCTCTGTTCCCTGCCCATCATATCTACCTTGGTGGAATGAAGGTAATAAGCCTAACTTACTAATTTCTGACAATTTCTTTCAAGACTAGTCCCTCCTGGATAAACTCGTCAGATGCTAATTAGAGAGAAGGCTCCAGACAACTACTTTTCCTAAGTCCTTTCCCCACCCCCCAAAGGTGTTCTTCTAAGCTTTTGGTAATACATCATTCTTCTTCTCTTGTTTGCTGAAATTCTACTATTCTTGGGCGTTCCATTTATACAGCAGCTCTCTTGACTTCATAAATGACAGAGTCCAGACCTGGCTCCCACAGAATCTGACTGCACTCCGGGTTCAGAATGGTCAGTGTCATGGAGAGTAGGCAGAGGCAGGACTTAAACCTTCCCTTGCATCAGCTTTCGATGGAAGGACCATTGCATTGGCACTTTCAAGTGCCGTGGGATTTGAGTGAGCACTTAACCACTTAGCTGACCCCAATCCTGTTTAAAGGAAGTAAATATTACTCAGGAAACCATCCCTGCCCAAGAAGCCCAACGTCTTGGTTGTTTTATTCTAGAAGCAATTACTGGTTAGAATTCTGTTACCTATGACCAAAGGCCATGCACAAATATAAGGACGGCTAAAAATGGTAACCTATGCAGTTATGAAGCTGCAGGTAAAAGAAGGTGAGAGTGAGCCTCTGAGAAATGTCAGTTCAATAGATAATCACCTCAGTGGTTCTCTGGTTTTAATATTTTGAGGCATCTAGTGAGTGCACATGCACGTTCATGTGTGGGTGCATGTGTGTGCACACACGCAGCTTAAAAGGAAGATGCACTTCTGGGTGAAAGAGTTAGTGACATATTTTATGGAGATGTTCTCTAATGAAATCCAGTTGGAATCAATCCAGGAGGCATGAGGCTGTGAGCTTTTTAGGGAGGCTGGGAGAGAAGGTACTAGAGAACTGGCTGGACAGAGGGGTCTGGATGGTTTAGGCAAACAGTTCCCATGAGAGACAACTTAGTGAAGTGGAAGGAACTCAATGATGCAGAGTAGGACTCTGAAGTTAAGACTCAATCCCTCTGTTTTATACTCTTGAGACTGGACAAATTCCTGGAGCCTGCTGAACGGTGGTTTCCTTGTCTGGAAAGAGAGGAATAGCTAACTTTTAAGATTATTTTGAGGAACAAATGAGAAGGAACACCCAGAATTGGCCATCTAGCAGGTGCTCTGTAGGTGGAGCTAGAGCTGAGTCAAAGATGGAGGCCCTTAGATTCCTTCACGGTCTTTCAGCTTCCAAACATCCACACATTCCTCAGGGGTGCAGAGAATGACCACCACCTCCCAGCTTCACCATCTGTTCCTTCTCAGGAGCTTTAGGATAAAGCAGGAATCCAAACTCCTCATTTACAAGAAAATTGAGTTAAAGGTTTCTTTTTAAGAAGTAGGTTCTGGGCTTCTGGAATGTACTAAAGGCAGTACGATTTGCAAAATATGGGAAGTGACTCTCCCACTCAATTAGGTCTTTGGAATCCAAGTCGATTCCTAAAGTATTTTTCTCATTAAAACTTTAGAAACCACACGGGTTCCTAAAGTAAAACGGGCATGGGAAGACGATAGAAGGGTTTGGAGAAGAACCTCTACAAATGTAAAGGGATGCAGAAGCATTCTTTAAAGGAATGAGCTTTATGATTCAAGTTAGAAGAGAGTGAGATAATAAATACAGGTTTTCTTGGCCTCTACAACTGATCAGTGAGGCTGGGAACTGATTGTGAAAGAAATAGTGTATTCCAAGAGGGGTTTTCCACTTTCCTCTGTAGGGGAAGAGTATGGGGAGCCCCAGAACGTGATAAGGCATAAGAAAGACACAAAAGATTGGTAGTTACGGAGGACAACATTGACAGCATGTAGCTGTTGCACTGGGGAGTGGGGGCGGGGGGAGGGAAGTGCATCTGGAAGCTACTGCAGTGGTCCAGGCAAAGGGATCAGGCAGAGATGAGAAGTTGGGGAGAAGGAGAAAGATCAAAGAAAAATATTGGAGGCAGAATAGTTGAGACTTGTTATCAGTTGGTGTAGAAAATGAGGGAGAAAGAGAGAAGTGGGAAATAGAGAAGAGGAAAATAATTCTCCAACTCAGGATGGGCTCCATGGTAGCTGGTCCTCTGGCTCCCCTCCCTCCCATGCCCCACTGTTGGTACCTTGGTGGGGCTCAGCAGCACTGTCTCTGTGGCTTCCCAACCTCCTCGTCCCCAGCCTCAGATCTGACCCCTTCCAACCACCCTGCACAAGGTTTTTAAAAATGCCAATCAGGAGGTTATGATGGTTCCCTTTACAACGCCTATAAATGGCATCTCTGACTTGTAGCCTGGCCCTGCTGATCTGTCCATCATTCTCCCCAGCCTCCCCTGCCATTTTTCTGCCGTTCCAGCCAAACGATTCCCAGCGGTTGGCACCCAGTGCCTTTGTTCACTCTTCTGCGCAGGATGCCCCCTCAAATGTTCTGCCCACATCAATAAATTCAACTTTAATTCTCACCTTATTAAATCTTTCATCCTTCTAGAAAATTCTTCCAGCAATTCTCTCCACAGTGCAATGGCCTTCTGCTTTCCTGAGGCTTCTTCTCTAACCTGTGCTGTCTCTGCCAGAATTTATGATGGCGGATGGCGCTTTTTATTCGCAATCTCCTGCCTAGACTTTGAGTTTGCCAGGTTCATCCTAGCAGGCACAGCATAGAGCATTATGATTGGCATGAAGAATACAAGTGTCAAGGGAACTATTGTCATTCACTCATTCAACAAATATTTATTTAGCATCGATTGTATGCCAGGCATTATTTATAAACACCTGGGATATAGTAATGATCAAGACAGAATAAAATCCCTCTCTGGTAGGACTCATGTTTTAGCAAGACAGACAGACAAAATATCAGTGAGCATCATTGGTAAGTATAGATGTGATACATTTTACACAAGTTAGAGCTGGGGGAAGGAATGGGAGCACAGGAGGGGAGGAGTGGGTGGTGATTGTAAGTTGGGTAGTCAGCGAAGGCTTCAATGACAAGCTGGTGTCTCCGTGAAGACTTAAAGGAGGTAAAGGTTTTAGCCAATAGTGGAAGTGTTTCCAGGTGCCAAAGCCCTTGGTGGAGAGCATGGGTGGTCCGTTTCAAAAAGAAAAGGAGGCAAATGTGGTTTGAGTGGAAGGGGAAGAAAAGCAATAAGAAGTTAGGGCAGAGAGATTTGGGGGTCCGGTCTGACAAGGCTTTGTAGGGGCCATGAAAGGATTCTGATGTGCTCTCAAATCCTTGGAAGATAGTGAGTAGATATTGGCATGATGCCACGGACATCTTATCCAGGTTGTTGATTGTTAGGCCATCCACAGATAGGAGGGGCAGAACTGTCAGAGGAGACATCTTTCCAAGGGAGATGATGATTCCACTTAGGAGAGAAGGACACAGTGAAAAGCAGCGGTCAGATTCTGGATATATTTGAAAAGAATAGGCAGTTAGCTAATGGAGCAGGGGAAGGCTACGGGAGACAGAGAGAAGGCCAGATTGACACCAAGGCTTGGAGCCAGAGGACTGGCAGGCTGGGTTTGCCATCCAGCAAGGTGGGAAAGAGTGTAGGGGGATTAGGTTTTGAGAAGATGAAGAACTTGGTTTGGGGCCTATTGTTTGAGATGTCACTTAGACACCCTAGCAAAACTGTCGCCTGGGCAGGTGGATGTACTATGTGGGTACCCAATGATTAAATGCAGAAAATAGCTACGGCTGGACTGTGATGTGCAGGGTCTGGTCTAGGAAACTCCAGCAGATTTCCACTTCTCATTTTGCAAGTCCAGATCCTGGCCCTCCAGGTAGTAGTAACTTCAGCGTGGACAGAACAATTTGCCCATCATCTGCACACACACACACACACACACACACACACACACACTGAATCCTCCTTCAAAATCCAGAGGGTGGCGCCATGATGGTTCAAGTTCTTGATGAAGAAACCTGCAGGCACAGAGAGGGAGGGCTGGGCCCAGGACACCCACTCATTAGGTGACACAGCAGGCTTCAGCCCCGGTCTGTCTGCCTCATGCCCATTGGGTATCAGGAAGCGACGCACCACTGAGCAAGTGCAGGAGCCCAGGTCAGTGTCTCCCAGCTGGGCTGTACCTTCCAGGGGTTATCACATCTCTGAGTCACCAGGGACTGTTCTAACTCCGGAGACTTGGGGTAAACACAGCAGACATTAGTGGATCATGGTTTGTTACGAAACGGAGAGGCTTTCATGTTTTTCTTTCTATCCCAAATAAACAGTAAGGATGCTAATGAGCCCCCAAAGGGGGAAACAAAAAAAAAAATCCCTTTCCCTGGGATTTTCCACAGCTCTGTGGCCAGGGTAAGGGCCTTCCAGCATGCTTAGGGAATGGGCTGTGTGTTCTGACCTTTCCTCTAGAGCTTTGTTTACTTTCAGAGAGCTCAGGAAGAGCCTACAGACACTGCTTGGCTCGGGGAACTTGGCAGACCCTAGTGAACACCACAGATATTTGGCAGGATGACTCCGAATGCTCCGAGAACCACAGCTTCAAACAAAACGTGAGTCTGTCCGGCTTGGAGATAAGGTGCCCAAGGCCCAAACCACCCCATCCTCCGGGGCACTCAGCTGTAGGGGCCACAGAAAGGGCCTTCCCACAGGTTGTCTCACCCCAACCTGGCTAGGGAAAATCTGCAACCCTGCAAAGCAGCATCCGCYGTGGAATTTCTCCCATTAATAAGGTGAAATGTGAAATCCCAAGGGAAGTGGGTCCTAGCCTTTGTGCTTGGATCATCTCCCCCAGCTCTCCTGTGTTTGGCTCCTTCTCATCCTTCAGATTTTAGTTTAGTTCTCTCCTTCAGAAAGGAGTCGTCCATGACTACCCAATCCAGACCTTCCATGGTCACTTTCTGCCATTTGTGTGTGTATGTGTATGTGTGTGTGCGTGTGTGCACGCAGTGAGGGTTAAACCCAGGCCCCTCCACATGCTAGGCAAGTGCTCTACCACTGAACCACATTTCCACCACACCCCTGGTGGGATTCCTAAATTGCATTGGTCATGCCCTGAAATTCTCCCATGTTTGCTTATTTATTATCCAGTCCACTCATCAGAATGCACATCCAGGAGTCGTGGCGTGGGGCCTCGGGTCCRACAGCACAATGGCATAGCCAGGCACTTCATATCTGGGCGTCACTTCAGGCTATGAACCTGAAGTCACCAGTCACTTCACTTTTCTGTGCCTCTGCTACCTTGCCCATCCCACGGCGACTGCGTTTGCTGCAGGCAATGGTTGTGAGGATTTAGAGCATTAAGAGACATAAATTTCAGAGGAGTAAATCTGACATGAAGTCAGCAAGCTCTAAGTAGGAGTTACTGCCCTACCACCGGGATCCAGGGTGGTAACTGCTCAGCAAATCATCCTGGCAGCTCAGTAAAAGCCAGAGGAACTAACGAATCCGAGCTTCAGACATCTCTCTGTGTGCTCTCTTTGCAGGATCCTGTTCTGGAGTCCCCTCAGGCCCAGCTCTTCTCTACTTTCTTGTTTTGGGCTCCTGCCTTTCTCCCTAAAGATCTCCTGTTTGTCCAAATCCTGTCCACCTTCCTTCAAGTCCCAATGCAAGGGAGCACAAGGAAGAGAGGAGGAGGATGCCTAGGGTCCAATTTTTAAAAATTCGCCGTGCATTACATTTATACATCATAGTGGGCTCATGTGACATATTCATATAAGCATATAGCATAACTTGCTCCATTTCATACGCAGTACTTCCTCTTACCCTCCTGTCCCTCCTTCTCTATTCACTAGTTTTCCTACTATTTATTTCCTAAAATTGGTGCTTTATACTTGACACAGAATAGTGGGATCCATTGTGATATCTTCTCACGTGCACTTAGCATCATTAGGCCAGTCCCCTGCCCTCCTTCCCTCYGTCTCCCTCTGTCCCCTTCCTGGGCACTACTGTTCTCCCTTCTCTTTTCATAAGATCGCCCCCTTTAAATTCCTTATTTCTGTCTAGCTTCTGCCCATGAGAGAAAACATTCGACTCTTGACTTTCGGAGTCTGGCTTATTTCATTTAGCCTGATGTTCTCCAGTTCCGTCCCTTCACCCGCCAATGACATGATTTCATTCTTCGCCATGGCTGCGTAGAACTCCATTGTGTATACAGGCCACGTTTTCTTTTTTTCCATTCATCTGTGACCGACACCTTGGCTGTTTCCATAACTTGTTTATTGTGAATTGTGCTCCTATAAATATTGGCACGAGTGTGTGTCACTATCGTATAGTCTGCTGATTCCAGTTCCAAAGAGTGGAATAGCTGAGGCCTCTAGTGGTTCCGTTCCTAGGCTTTTGAGGAATCTCCCTAATGCTTTCCAGAGTGGTTATCCCAGTCGGTCGTCCTACCAACAGTGTATAAGTGAGGAAAGGATGCTCCCCCACATCCTCGCCAGCATTTATTATTACTGATATTCTTGAGGATTGGGCCACATTCTTGTTTCTTTCAAAGAGACCAGACATAAACATGAGTTGAGGGCCCACTGTGTGCTGGGGTTTTGCACTAGGAATAAACAGTGGCTGAAATGCAGATGCTGACTTCAAAGAGCTGAGAGTCTTAGGGGGCAGAGAGGCCCCCATAACGGCTGGTACAGAAGAAGGGGATGCCCAGGCATACAGAAGAGGGGGACACTGATATAGACTGGGGACAAAGAAGGCTGACCAACCTGAGCCCTGAAGGGTGGGAAGGAAGGAGATGGCTCTGGGAAGGATGAGAACGAGAACATTCTAGACAGAAGGGAAAACATAGCCAGGGTCAAAGAGCAGATGGACTCCCACTACCAGTGTGTGCTGCGAAATCCTGAGGGAAGTGGGTCTTCCAGGGTTGGTCCTCGACTTTCCATCTGCTCTTCCTGTGCTTGGAATGACTTCCCCAGCTCTCCGGTGGCTCGCTCGTTCTCATCATTCAGGCACCAGTCAGTTGCAATGTTTCCTTCAAAGAGGCAACTTTGAGTGCTGACRTGTTGGTGAGGTAGATTTTGAGGAGGAAGAGGTGGTGGAGGGTCGGAGACCTCAGGAGAGGTGAGAAGATGAAAGTKTCCTGTGCCCCTTGCAGGATTTAGGACTTTGCAAGTTTAACTGGGGGAGGGATATTTCAGAACAGATGATAGGATCTCTCTGGAAAGTTGGAGAGAGATTAGGACTGGGGTCCTGCTGGGGATGGGAGGCAGGAACAGGTGGGAGCCATCTCAGTTACAGCCTAGATGTGAGTGAAGAACACCAGTTGGGTGGGAAGAAGAGAAAGCATGGGTTTACAGCTTTCCAAGGAGAGAGATGATAGGACCAGGTGCTGGGGGTTGGGGGCGTGAGAGGGTAGAGTCAGGGCACTGAGATCTCAGGTGTCTGACTTGGACGTATGGGGAGATTTGAAATGCCCCTCATTTTTAAAGATGTTTTTAATATTTACTTTTTAGTTATAGGCGGACACAATATCTTTATTTTATTTTTATGTGGTGCTGAGGATCGAACCCAGGGCCTCACACGTGGTAGGCGAGCGCTCTACCTCTGAGCCACAACCCCAGCCCTGAAATGCCCCTCATTGAGATAGAAGGCATAGCAAGAGAGGGGCCTTGCCTTCAATTTCTCCTGGGTTCTAGATGTTTCCCTACCTTATTGTTTATCCTAACTTGATAAAAAGCACTCTTCTCCCCTATCCCTTAAGTTGTGACTTTTTTCATCATTTAATTGGATTTTGAAATTTTGTAGGTTTTAAAAATCATTTGAATGTTCTCCCATCAAACACTAAAGGTATTTTAATAGTTTAAAGTTTGGGGACAGGGAAAAGCAAAGAGCTCAGTCCTAGAAACACTATCTGTGGGACCTGAGCCACTTAGCCTCTCTCCTCTCATGAATGTTTGTTAGCATTTTAGTCAGTATTTTTCACTGCTGTGACCAAAAGACGTGACACAAAAAAAACTTAGAGGAGGAAAAGTTTGTTTTGGGGGCTCATGGTTTCTGAGGCCTCAGTCCACAGATAGCCGGCTCCATTCCTTGGGGCTTGAGGTGAAGTTGAACATCATGGCGGAAGAGTATGGTGGAGAAAAGTGGCTCAAGACATTACACCAAGAAGGAGAGAGAGGAAGAGAAAAAGCTACACTGTACGTGTCCTCAGTTACCACTTAGTTAATTCCTACCAAGAGATTAATTCAGATTGGGTTAAGGATCTCATAACCCAAAAATTTCTTGCATTGTCTCACACATGAGCTTTTGGGGGACAACTCACATCTAAACCATAAGTCAGCTTTCTGTTACTATAACAAACACCCAAGGTAATCAACTTATAAAAAGGAAAGATTTGTTTTGACTGAGAGGTTTCAGTCCATGTTGCTTGGCCTCATTGCTTTTGGCCCATGGTGGTCCAACACATAATGCCAGGAGCACATGGTGAAAGAAACTGTTCACCTCGTGGCAGTGGGGAAGAAAAGAGAGAGGGACAGGGGTGGGGGCTGGGGTCCCAGTATCCCCTTCAAGGGCACAGCCTCAGTGACCTAACTTCCTCTCACTAGGCCCCACCTCTTAAAGGTTCTACCACCTCCCAATAAAACCACAGACTGGTGACCAACCCTTTAAACAGTCTGTCAACCTCTGTTTTTGTTGTCTATTATAGTGGCTTCTCTGCTCTGTCTGCTTGTTTGTTTTTTTTTTTAATATTAATTATTTAGTTGTAACTGGACACAATATCTTTATTTATTTATTTTTATGTGGTACACAGGGCCTCAGCACACGCTAGGTGAGTGCTCTACTGCCGAGCCACAATCCCAGCCTGTTTTTTTTTTTAATGTAATATTTCATTTGACTTTCAAAAATCAAAAACCTAATTTTCTGTGGCATTATTAAGGTCAACTTATGTACTTTATTATTTTATTTATAAATCGATTAAGTTTTAATACTTTTAAGGAGATCTTTTATTTTTGTTGACACTTAAACACTAGTTATTTAAATGCTCTAAAATTTGAACTGCTTTTGTACGTATGAAATGCTTTGAAATGTTTTAAATATATTAAATATTGATTATAACAAACACATCTTTCTTAACTCTTAAATAACTCTAGTTCATTGAATACACCAAAGGTTAAATGATGAGTCTTAAATTTTCTTAAATATCTCAATAGTTTTCATTGTTTCCAACTTAAGTCTAAAATCAAGTACTTATTGAGATGTTTCAAATCAGAACAACAATACTAAATAATTAGATCCTCTAATACACCATATTCTCTAAGTAGTAATATCCATTACATTGGCAAGTGATTTAAAAAAATCTGTATATGAGGGATGAATAGAAGGTGAAATGTAATGATGTCAGGTAAAGTTTCATGGCAGAAAATGAGTGTGGGTATACAGGTACTCTTTATAAAATTCTTTTAAATTTGCTGCATGTTCAGAAACTTTTATAATACATATTAAGGAAAATCCTATATCTGAATTTAACACAAAACTAGTAATAAATGGAATAGTTTGGTTAATCATTGCCATGGTTAATACAAAAGAATAAAACTTTCACAATAAAGAA